CCCCCCGGGGCGGCGGGGCGGCGGGAGAGGCGGCCCGGCGCCGCCAGGAGCCCCGCGGAGGGCTGGTGGACGCCCGGGTGCGGCGACGAGGGCGCCCGGGCGGGGAGGCCGGGGGACTTGGGGGGCGCGGGCGGAGGCTTGGCGGCGGCGCGGGCGTGCAGGTCCTTGAGGAAGGGTCTGGCGGGCGACGGGGCGCGGTGCAGCCGCTTCTTCTCGGCGTGCGGGTGGTGGTGGCCGGGCGAAGGCGGCGGCGGCCGCAGCGCGTCGCCGGGCCCCGGGCCGGGGCCGTTCAGCGCCTCCATGGCGCGGGCCGGGGGCGGCGGGGCGGCAGCGGCGGGGGCGCCCGGCGGCGGCAGGAGCGGCGGTCCCCGCGGGGCGCGGCGACAGGACGGGCAGCCTCCTCCAGCCTCCCTGCTCGCTCTCTCATCACTTCTGTTTCTCCCAGCCACAGCCCTCACACTTTTCTTTCTCGATCCCCCTCTTCCTGCCCCCCCACCCCCACCTTCTCCTCCTCCTCGCCGCTCTCTCCCGAGCACTGATTTGTTTCAATAAATCGAGCCCAAATCCCCCGGTGGCAGCCGTCTCCTCCTCCTCCTCCTCCTCCTCCTCCTCCTCCTTCTTCTCCTCCTTCTTTTTCCCCTCCCGCTCCCCTCTCCGCCTGGCTCAGCTTGATGCTGCTCAAGTTGTGATGCAGCCCAAAAAACCGATCCTTTTCCCCTCAATCCGAGGCAAAGGCGTGTTTTCCCGGCTGCCTTCGCCTCCGCTTGCAAGCCCCCCGCTCAGCCCACCGGCGCCGCTAACCCCATCACTGCCCCGGCTCCAGCCGCCGCCTCCGCCCGGCTCCTGAAATAGCCCCGCGGCTGCCGGGGCCGCTCCGACTCGGCGCTGCCCGCCCGTGCGCAGGATCCGCCCCCTCTGTCAGCCAGCCAGGCAGCTCTCCTCCCGCCCGGCAAAGTACTTTCCTCGCACGCTTTATTATAGGGACGCCTCTGCCAGCCTCTTCCTATCAGAAAGCCTCGTTTAGGGAGAAATTTCGATTTCCCAGTCATGAGCTATAAGCGTTGCCCGTTTTGGTTGCTTTGTTTTTTTTCCCCCCCAGCTAAGACTTCATGGAAACGGTCTCTCCAGGGACTGGCAGCAGCAAAACAACAGCCACCGCATTATCTCCCTGCTCAAGGCAGATAGAGGTTCACCTAGAGGCAGAGCCGAGTATCCGAGGATATCAGCAAGTTCCTGGCTCCGGCTGAGCTACAAAAGGCACGGACCCGTCCTTTTGGAGCACGGGGGTATGAAATTGCAGCCCTTACATTTGCAAAGCACCCGGAGAGCAAATGAAAGGGAGGAGAGGCTCGGGCGTGGGAAAGAGGCACAGCCTTAATGGGGAGAGCGGAGCAGCACCAGCCGGGATGTTTCCGATTCTTCCGCTGGGACACAGCGGACCTTGGAGAAGCCGCGGTGGCTGCCTTATCTGTCAGACGAAAGTAAATGCGTGCTTAGATTCTAAAGTCCTTGGGAGGCGCGGATCACCCACGTCTGGATGTCAGGGACTGCAGCGCGCTCGGTGGAAGACAGTCCCGGACGTTTCGGGGGGGCATGGGAGGGTGGGCAGCACCCTGCGGCGCTCCAGGACCCCGCTCCGCTCATGTGGCTCAAGGCATTACCCCTAAAGGCAAAAGCCCAAGGTCTGCTGGAGCCTGAGGGCAGCGGGCACCTCGGGGCGGGTGGCCAAGGCGAGACCGGGCAGCAAGTGCTTCTGGCAGTGCCAGGCCGGGGCCGCGGCCAGGCCACGGTGCCCGGGGAAGAGACGGGACCGCTCGGGCATCCCCGGGTCCTTTCTCCCGGTAAAACAGGGGAGGGGAACACTGATTTATCCTGCGGAATAGCGCTGCCGCATGAGTATGCAACAGGTAGTTCTTACTTTGTAAAGGCTGCAGAGGTGGAAAAAAAAAAATCATTCAAATCAGAGCTGCATTTACAGGTCTTCAGGAATTGGGAGCAGCCCCACGACAGCGCCCCGGGCAGCCGGCGTGGGCAGCGCCAGCCGGCAGAGCGGTGATGGGCGGGATGTCGGCGGGGCAGGGGGAGAGGGCGGCTCCAGCCCCGGGAGAAAGCCGGGGCTTGGAGAGGCAGCGGAGGGGGAGGAGGAGGCCAGGTCCTCTCGACAGGGCGGTGTGGTCCTTCCGCGAGTGGGCAGGCGATGAAGGCTCTGCTCCGGGGCACCCAGCGGTGATGGCATGCTGTGTTGGGTGGTTTTTTAATCTCTTGAAAATTCCACTTCTGTTAGAGCTCTTTATTTTCCACCCGTTGGCCTCGCTGCCAGACGGCTGTGTTCCCGCATCCAAACGTGCCTTGCAGGTCACACGGCAAAGTACCTATTGTGGCAAAGATGGCACTGGCCGGTATGTCCACCTGCTACAGCTACCGGCAGGACTTCGTGGGGCCAAACCCTTTAAAAAATACAGAAAACACTTTGAAGCGGGCCAAACACAACAAACCCACTCGCAGGTGTAAGTCCCCTTATTCTCCTCGGTGTAAAACATTAGTAACTTACTTGTTTGGGTGAGACAATCAGTTTATAGAAGCATATGAAGTGGCTCAGTTGATCTAGAAAAATGGCTTATAAAATACAAACTACTGTTACATTTTAATGACATTGCATTTCCATCAGGCCATCACATATTATCAGTGTTCCCTACCAAGCTGTTGTGTTCCTAGTTGTCGTTGGGTTTTTTTAAAATTATTATTTTAATTTTTTTTGTCAGTACACTGCTGAACAGTTCAAGGACTTCTCCTTTATGGGAATGTGTAAGAGAGTGAAAGAAAGTGAAAGAGATAGCAAGTGATGTATTTCATAATGAGAAATAGTAATTATTATGGAAACACTAAATATTATAGATGTTGCCCCACGTGGGAGATATCAGAACGGTTGTTTTGCACTACTATGTCATCCCTCTCACTTGGTTTTGGTTATAAATTCCAAGAATAGATGGGAATTCCAGCTTCACCCACTAGATTTGCAAAGTGTTTATGCCGGTGATGAAAAGGGAACTGCTCTGTGATAATTTATGAGTGCCCTGTTTTGACTTCGCCCCATTAACAGAATGGTTCAATTCAGAAGGAAAATGAAAGGAAAAGTATGGCTCAAGATAAGCCACTTTTCTACAAACAATAGCTGAGGGACACTGCCAGGCTTCTTTGCACTGGAGGGGAAAAGAATTAGGGATGTGAAAAAAAGGAGCACATTCACAAAAGGCTGGGAATTGTCTGGGAGAATTAATCTGAGACACTTAAGTCCCTGACAGAGTCCAGTTTCCTGTGGTTACCTTGTAAATTTTACATTGCAAATACAAGAATAAATATATATTTTTTTCTATCTTACTTATCTTTTTCTCCCTCACTAAATACTTTGTTTCCACTGCTAAATGTTTTACGTTTAAAATTGTCTTTGGTGTCGCTGTGCATCACCGACCACAAGCTCCTGCAGGCAAAGAGGACTAAAACTCATCCTGACTTCTGAGGAGGTGCCCTTGACAAACACAGACTGAGAGTAATGAAAAGCCCATGACAAGGCAGGGTGACCTCAGATCGGAAAGGAGACTGGAGAGCAGATACCTCTGTAAACTCTCTGTATCTTTGTGTTCTGTGCACCTTCTTCACATTGAAAGATAATGTTCGCTGTCCCAGGCAGCACCAGTTCAACCAGGCACCTTAATAAAGTGATTTATTGGCATTAGTGCTCAAACAAAGTCGGGCTGTGCCGCTGAAAAGGTGCTGCAGCAGAACACGTTAGAGGGAGACGCATGATCAGTCACACCAAGATCCCTTTCTGCTGTGCTGGCAGTATAAAGCATTTAATAACAAAGAAATGCAGCCCCTCTAGCCCTCCCTGGACATGTGCCTGGCTGGGTGCAGATGGCAGATTTGTGTGGTATGAGGCCAGCTGTAGGATTTTGGCTGTGTTCCTCTGTCCTCTGCTGTCGTGCAATGCCTATTGGAGACCCCTAGGAGATTGGTGTAAACAGGCATGGCGTGAATGAGGATAAGACCCAAATATGAAAGCTAAGTACATACCACAGAAATCTCCACTGGGCTAGGCAAATGCCTGGTAAGAACTACTAGTATTATATTACTCATTTATTTATATCAAAACTTTTTTTTCCCCTTTACTTAAAACTCATTATTGGGTCTTATAGGAAAATACAGTCACAGACTACCATGAGCCCCTAATTCTCCACTCTCTTTCTTTTTATTTGCTTGTTATGTCCAATTGTTTTCTCTTATCGTAAATTAGTCATGCACTCCCTCCTGGTGGAATGGCTGCTTATATGCTTGTGTAGCTCTTAACATAATAGGACATCTGGGTGTTGGTTGAATAATACAAATAATCAGACACAACACTTTTACGACATGTTTATTTTGGCAATGCTGATATCCTTTGTCTGATTAATGCTGACATTTGATAACTGAGCTGTATTTGCACAAATAATTATGAAAAGTGGATGCTAAGCCTGCCTACTTAGATTAGCTATCACACATCTTACAAAGCATAAGACAGTTTTTGGCAGTGCAGGACTGCCTAAATTCTTTTCTTGGGCTGAGGCATGAGAGAGTTTACAATTACTTAGAGAAGATGTGAAGAAGCTCAATCTAAATGTAAATTTGCCCCTCAGCCAGCCCAGCTTACAGTAGCCTAAGTCTAAGCTGTTATTTTCTCCTATTTCAAATCCCTATTTGAGATCTTCTTCAATGACACCACAAGAGCAGCCAACTTCTAATGGCCAGGCTCAGAGTTATGAGGGAGCACTGGTGTTTACAGAGCTAAATCAAAACAGTAAATGAAGACACAAATGCACCCATACAGGCCATGTGTATGGATAACCCAGCATAAATCTGGTTGAGTCTATTATTATTCCACCTTTATATGTTGCAGATCATGAGCTGTAATTTCTTTGTGGCCACATTGTGCTCTGTGATTA